CGGCGAGCATTTTTTTGAGATCAGTGAATAGTCAGTAGTCGCTGGGGGCCAGATCTGGACTGTACGGTGGAAGAAAAAGCAATTCGAAGTGTAATTCGTGCATGTAATTGCTATCGGTTTTATTGACTTGTGACATTGTACATTGTCTTAATGAAACAAAATTTTTTTCTTTGCCATATGCGGTCCTTTTTTTATAATTTCTGCTTTCAAACGATCCAGTAATGCCGTGGAGTAGTTACTATTGATGGTTTTTCCCTTTTCGAGATAGTCAATGAAGATAATACCATGTGCATTTTAAAATACTGAAGCCATAACCTACCCAGCTGACTGTACTGTTGTGCCTTTGGACTCTTCGGACGTGGTTCACCGGCTGCAGTCCATTCAGATGATGATCGTTTTGATTTCATAGTGAAATGAGGGATCCATGTTTCATCCATTGTCACATATCGATGCAAAAAATCTGATTTAATATGTGCAAACATGGCTAAAAACTGCTCCGAATCTTCACCACATTGTTGCTTTTAATCGACTGTGAGTAAACGCGGCACCCACTTAGAAAAGAACTTTCTCATGGTCAAATGTTCATGCATAATTGTAAACACACTGCCTTCTGATATCTTTACGGTCTCAGCTATCTCACGCAATTTCAATTTAAGATTAGACATAACCAATTTTTGGACTTTTTTAATGTTTTCTGGAGTAACCACCTCAATTGAACGACCAGAATGTTCACCATCATCGGTGTCTGTACGATGTCTGTATACAATATTATGCATAAATTAATTACATAAATCATTTGAAAAAATAATTTAATAAGATATATTTAATTTAAAATGAATAAATAAAATAATTCGTCTTTGTAGTGCGTTGTAGAATTTTTCACATCAATGACAGAACAGTACAGGAAGAGCTTCTTTATTACATCAGCGAATCTGGGGAGCACCTTTAGGATTGGATTGATTTGTGTATATAGTTTGCGAATGGGGTAGAAATAAAACAAATTAAAATGTAATAATGTATAAGTAATTTCAACAAATATTATATATATTTATTTAGGCTTATGCAGAAATAATGACACATATTCAAGCAGATATCATTGTTTCTGCTATACAGCGATTGGACGCAGCCCGATTGGATAAGGCTACGTACGTATTCGAAATCCGGGGTTGCAGCGTAGAATAAAAACGGCATCAAATACAATAAAGCGTGATATTGTTTTTACAGCTAGTTTCTATACTTACTGAATTCTAATATAACATTTAATATTTCGTAAAAAGTTATTTATACAATTTTTATTTAATTTCATGTTCAAATCAAATTTGTAAAAAATGTATATTTGAGATTTATATAATAATGTATTAAAATTTTTGTAAGACGGTCTCTAAATTTGTCTTATTTGTCATAGTTTCAAAAGTGGTGTTTTTTAATAAGTGTATATCCTAATGAAATTATAAAATGTGTGTTTAATTATATAATATTATAAACGAATTTATCTGGTTTCTGGTTTATGTTTTGGTGGTAACAATTTGCGACCCATATGTTTTGACTGAAAATCATGCCAACTATCAACGCGACTTTGGCGAGATTCTTCATAATTCTTTTGCCATTCTGTTTCATACTCTTGTATATCCTCCTCTTCAATTTCAGCTTCACGTTTTCTTTTCCGATCCTCTTGATCACGTTGTTCAAGTTGTTGTTGTTTTCGTTCCACATCTGCGAAAAGCTTCATAACCATGACATGGAGAGCATGTTTGTAGTTCTCCGGATCATCCTCGGGAATATCCTCAAAACGTTTATGTTCCTTTTTCTGTTTTTTACGCTTCTTTGCAATCTAATATAAAACACACAAGATGTGAATAAATTGTTTTTTTTTATATACTATCATTAATTACCATATGATTGGTACGCTCTTTAGCTTCTTCGTAGATGTCCAAACATTTCTTACGTGTGACTTCATTTTCCAATGTTCTCCAAGAACGATTTACAATATCGAACGCCATTCGTGCGCGATCTTTGTTATCTGGATTTCTATCTGGATGAACTAGTTTAGTCATTGTATGATAACGCTTCTTTATGACGTCTATTGTAGCTTCTGGTTCCACTTGCAGTACCTCGAATGGATTGAGATTGAAATAAGTCGAACCTGGTCTTAGTAGATGATCAATTTGTTGAGTAGAAGTTAGTGCAGAATCGCGTTTTTCTATTTCTTTAACCTGTAATATATCCGTATGGAACCCAAATTTCAATATTTTGAACATATATATGTACAAATTCATACAAATACAAATATTCATTTATTTATAAATGCAGAATCCGAACGAACTTACTTCAATATAAAATGTATTAAACGATTTTTTTGAAGTAGACATATCATCTGAATTATTCGACATTTTTTAAAAATTGAGTGTTTAATTATTAACTTAGAAAAGTTTTAAAACTTTTATTTGTTGATAGAAAAAAAAAATCACTAAATGTTGCAGACGTCAAAATTGAAAATCAAAAGATATAAAATCGACACTTCCTTTGTCAAATTTGAGTGACACAGAGTTGTCAGTTTATTAAAACGAATAAGTATCTGCTATAATTAAATTAATTTGTACCTGTAGTAGCAACTATGAATTTTTTTCGACATTTGTCTACTGAGTTAATTGGAAGGTAAATTTTAAATTATTATGAAATTTGCTAGACAAACAAATGTACTATTGTGAATAAGCGGCTGTATGACAGCTTTAAATACATTAACAATAATAATGACAGCAGAAAATGCAATGCTCAACAGCATATTTTTTGAACCAAACGTTTAGCCAATATCGATGTAATATTAAATATTTTGAGTTTTTTTATCGGGTCAACAAACTTGTACAGCTTAAATACAATAGAAAAATTTCTATTGGTTTGCAGTTCACAATACCAAAATTCGGTTGTGTCTATAAACGATAGAAGCTTTTCTATTGTCTATCGGAAATAGATAACTCACAATAGGCACTTGTGTTATATTAAACATTTTGCCGTAAATATATATTTATTTGATATACATGATATATGACCTCATTACCTCCGATTTGGCAGCTATTTTTTACTGCGCTCATTAAGAATAGGCGATTTACCTATATCTCGGGAAGAAATTTTTTGTTTTCCAATGAGAGACGGACCCATGGGGTTTTGAAAAAGAACATTTAAGACCACTTTTCAAATTGTAATATTTCAGGCTCTGTAAATGATGGAGACCTGAAACATTGTGAAGATAACAAATTCGAAGTTCTTGCAATAAATATATATAATTTTAATTTAAAAAAATTTTCCTTTAATTCATTGAAAGGTTTAATTTTTTATTTTTGATTTAGATTCAACATGAAGAAACTAATTAAGAAACTAAAATTTTCCCGTTGGCATTATGTTTAGAAGTATTTTGGATAGATTATTAATGCTGTCTCTCACATTTTACGTCTACTCACTTAATATAAGTTAAATAAATTTTCGAAAAACATATTTAAATATATTAAATTTGTATTTTTGATTTGATTATTATGTTTAGGCTAGTTGAGTTAGTGTACTTGAGCACTTTTACTCTCTATTAACTTCGAGGTTTCTTCATAACCACTCTCTACCCCTTGGCTAGATTATTGTTTATCACTTCATTAGACTAAGCAATAATTTACTTCAGATTTGCATACCTTCAGGGTTATAACCTTAATGTATTTTTTGTTTTGATCAATCTTAAGGTCCCTGAGGATGTAATTCGTCCTAAAGTACCATTACACCTTGAAAAGTCTTCTCAGAGCCCGGCTTTATGCAATTTCTAGCTGGCGAATAAAAGTATTTGAGGCCTTGCTGAACGCTACATATCCATATAGAATTGATTTGAATTTACAATAGATCTTTTAGATTGCAGTATACTATACTTAATTCATAATTATAGGTAATAATTTTAAAA